CTCTATTAACGCTGCCAGCCGAGTGTGGAGAAAAAAATCTCCCCGCCAAGCTTCATCAACCTGCAGGATATTAAAGTCGAGTGCACCCCCCCCCCTCCACCGTGCGCCCCCACCCAACCTCGTGTGTGGGAGTGAACTATGGTGGGCGGGTTGGAAAGAAGTGGGGGGGGGGGGTCGGCGCATGCGCACACAAGTGGCGTGTGCGCCAAAACAAAGCATGCATTCGTCATCTAATTAGATTGGATGTGTGGATGGCAAGATAATTTGTTGTTGCTTAACAATTGTTAATATCACGTATAAAAACACAGTACAAAAATGAGAATAATGCTTTACTCTAATTTACTTAGTAATTGTTAATACAGTACTATAATGGGAACATTCAAGTTGTTGGGGTGTCAATCAAACTTGTCACAAATGGAATAAAAGTTAATGAATGCTATATAGAATGATGTAATTTTTTGTGTGTGTGTGTGTGTGTGGGGGGGGGGTTACGGGGACAACATTGAGGGGAATGAATGAGGAAAACACAGTGTGTTGCATTGCAGATGTTTGGAAAGCAGCAGTAGCATAAACAGTTCTGTCTACGATGTAGTGCACTGGTCCTCAAACTGTTGTGTGAGTCGTCTAGTATCGAAGAATTAAACCCCCAAAAAATTACTTTTTAAAAATGCAAATGATTGTACTTAAAAGTTAGATACCAGAGTGTACTGAAAAAAATACTGGATTGAAAAAGTGTCAAATGTACTGTAGAAGAATACAAAAAAAAGATAAATACAACTGAACTGTACTTAAAAATGCGCTGCACTGGATTGAAAGTGCAATACATTGATCTATATTTAAAAGTGTACTGTTCTTGAAATAAAAAAAGAACAGACTGCATCGGATTTTAAAAAAAAGTTAAATATGACTTAAATGTACTTCCGATGTGTACTGTCCTGGATTCATATAAAAAAATGAAAGTCTATTCAGTGCTATAAGATTCAAATATTGCGTTTCATCTATTTTAAATGTTAATTGTATTTGCGTTTAATTCAGTGATTCTTTCACAAACCAGAAGAGGGAGCTCGTTTGCCACTCGTGGTCCTCGCAACGCACTTTCGCGGCTGTTGTGTATTTACCTCTTGTACTGCCAGTGGACATATCCCTGAGATGTTGCTCCCTGCACGCCCACCAGCCAAACGTCAGCACACTCTTGTCCTCCACCCTGTCCCCCTTTTTTCACTTCCTCTTCTTCTTCTTCTTTTCTTCTTCTTCTACTGCCTGCACGGCCAGCCTGCCTCTACGGGCATGAGGACGGCCAGTCCAATTCTGCAGCAACACAACACTTGCCATCACCTATCACGTGTCGTTCGCATCATAGTAGATCTGCCTACATTTTTCATTTCCTGTCACAACTGTGACAAAACAAAATATCAATGTGCTTGCTCAGTTTGTGTTTATTTTATTTATTTCGATGTTTTTTATCGAAACAAAATATCAATGTGCTTGCTCAGTTTGTGTTTCTTTTATTTCTGTTTTTTATGCAGGCAACTGGGCAAAAAAGAATCACTGAATGAAATGTTCCATTTGGACATAATGTGACAAATATTTATTTCTTAATACAGCGCACTACATTTGTTAAGTACAGTTCAGTTGTGTTTAACTTTGATGTACAATATATGTGCACTTAATCTTTCGGACTAACGTTTATTTGGGGACATTTTTTTTTCTTTAACTTCTGTGAATTTGTTCATTCACCTCTATTTAAGCTCTGCGAAAGGCTATTAGGCTAACAATATTGACGTGGATTTCTTGCGTATGTTGTGTGTTCGAGAGGCAGAACAAACACTTGGCTGGTGTTCATTCAGAGTTTTAAAATGTTTTTTTTTTTTCAAATCCCACCAAAAGCTCATTCTAAAATAAACAAAAAGACCATTTAATTTGGACAGGATTCATGAAGTATGAAACTAGATGTTAGCTAACCGCTAAATGCTATCACGACATTGGGGAAACTCTCTTCACCCCATTTCGCAGCTGTTTTAATGAGATTGTGTTGAGTAATTTCACCGTTTTAAATGTGACATTATCCAACGTAAGAGGAGTGTAAAATGTGATCAGACCACGGAAGGAATTATGATTATTAGTCGCTGTCACTGAGAGAAATGCCAACATCAAAGTTGGTGATTGGAGTCTTTCGTTTTTATGTCGCAACAACAGTATATTTGTTTTTTGGTTAAATATTTGAGGCATCATTTGCAGTATTTCTCTCACTTTCATCACGGTGTAAAAAAAAAAAAAAAAAAAAAGATCCGTCATTTATCGAATCGATAAGATGTGATTAAAAAAGATTCTTAACATTTACCACTAATAAGATGTAGTCATCAATTGTACTCAATCATATGTGATACCAAAAACGATTTGGTATTTTTCATATTGATGCAAAGATTAGTAGTCGTAAAAGCTGAGCCACTTAATAATTGAGTAAAGAAAAAAAGCCGCTTTTTCATTGTAATGCATCTTTTTAGACTAAATTATCAAATTTTTGAAGTTGTTTATAGCATTGTTTTCGTCATCAAGCGAAGAAAAAAAAGCAGATGAGATTTTCCCTTTTTTACTTCATAACTTAATTTACTCATTATGTTCCAATTAAATAGTAGTAATACTATTACAAGAAGTGACCGCACTTTTAAAAAGAGATTTTACCTGACTAAGCACGGATTCTTAACGAAAAAAAAAACTCATTCTACTTCTTTTTTTTTTTTTTTTTTTTTTTTTTAAACTAAATGTAATATACTGAAAAAAATGGTGTGTTGAAAAGGAAAAGCATCTGGCTTCAACTACATTACAAGTAAGGTATCAGTCTACTGAGAAAATGTATCTGGATCCAGATGATCTTATTTCATGCAACCATTTGACGAAATAAAATTGAGTAAATTCAACACACCATTTTTTTTCAGTGTAGTAACACCATATATTTATCGTTCTCAACCCCAAAAACTAATTCCACTCCACTTTTTGTTTCCTCGAATAAGTATCCGCTACAATTAAATGACCTTTTCTATTGTGTTACGGCCTGTGAGATGTGAGTCATTGCACGGTTAAACGTGTTTAAAAATATATATATTTTCTATGACAATATCAGTCTTGAATCTTAGATTACGTAGGGAAAAAAAACAATTACTGCGAAAATTTTATAACGTGTTGATGTTTTACGTGGAACAACAAACGCTAACATGACAAGTCGGAAACAAAAGTTAGCCCGATTACACGTTTCTTTGCACATTCATAGAGTTGCATTCATTTTTTATTTTATGACAAATACCCCAAATTGCGCATCGTTTCCTATTTAAACCACAACGGTCTTATTCGTTTTCAATTAAAGCTGTGTTCCAGGCTCATTATTTATCATTGGCGTCATCTTTTAACCCTCAAAAGTGCACCTAAATCCAAATCCAAACGCTCTTGACAAACAAGATGCACGCCGCTTACGTCACACAATCAACCTCGCGCCTCCCAAATAAACTATGACACGTTTTTACACACGCCGAACGAGCAACCTTCTTACCTTTTGCCGCCCGCGAGTGAAAAACGGCGATTCCCTGCGCGCTAATATCCAAAATGTTGAGTTCGCTCTCCCGGTGGCGTGCGTACGTACGTTTGTGCGCGTGGCCTGCGTGTTTGCGAGCTGCTTGCGCATCGCCACGCGTTTTATCGAAACGGGAGCGCGCACCGGAGGACGCCTCGCAGCTGTTTGGACGAAGGCTGGAAAGGGGGAGGAGCCACACTCTCACACACACACACACACACACACACACACACACACACACACACACACACACACACACACACACACACACACACACACGCGCGCGCGCAAGTGCGCCTTCACACGCAATTTAGTGTGTGATTTGCGTCGATCCATCAGCATTTTCAGAGCTGACAGCTCGAGCACACCTCAGACCGACAGAGACATTTCTGATTTATTATTACGAAAAGAATTCAAGTTGTTTGTTAATGCCGCTCCCCCCACCCACCCCGCCCCTATCAGGGTGAGATTTTACACGTTTACCCAACTTTCATATCGTAACATTTTTTTTGGAAAGAAGTTGTTCATTTCCTGTAATTGCCCGCCACTTGATTGACGCTTTTGGTTTTACTAATAAAAAGATGTCACTTATTTGCAGGTGATTATGAATTAGTGAATGTGACGCAATAGCCGGAATTGAATATCTCATTGTGTGCACGATATAGGACAATCTGTAATTAATAAAATATAATTCATGCACAATATGTAACTTTCGTTTAAAAAGAAATATTGAATACGGTGACAATAACAATGCGCCAAAGTGCGTTTTTCCCTCTTGCACGACCATAAAATGGAATTAAAAGTGAATATTAATTTCGTTGCAATCCAACAGTCATTGTTTTAATGGCGTTTTTATAATGTACATTTTTAAACGGAATTTTATGACTGTTTTTCAAATTATATGTTCCTTGTTTTGTGTTTTATATACTTTCGTTTAGGACTGTATTTATAAAGGGATGAGTGTGTGTCTTTCTGTTCTTTTTGTAGATATTTTCAAATCATTGTAATCATTTCAATTGCTGTTTGACAACCCGATTTAAATATTTCATTCATGTATATGTATGATTAGTACGTTTATTTCTGCAGTCACACTTTTTTTTTCCTGCACTTATATTATTACATTTGTAATCCGTTTAGGACTGTATTTATAAAGGGATGAGTGTGTGTCTTTTTGTTCTTTTTGTAGATATTTTCAAATCAGTGTAATCATTTTAATAGCTGTTTGACAACTCGATTTAAATATTTCATTCATGTATATGTATGATTAGTACGTTTATTTCTGCAGTCACACTTTTTTTTTCCTGCACTTATATTATTACATTTGTAATCCCTTTCATGACTTTATTTGTAATTTTTAAAGAAGAATTGTCATGGCAATATATGTATTAGAGTTTTTATATTGTAATGCAAATAATTTACAGCATATGAGCAAATGGGAAAACATATTTGTACCTATGTCAAGAGTTCTTTAGGTCTCATTGTGATCAATGTTTCAATAAGTGCGTTTTTAAATTACACACAGGCTTAAAATTGAAAATGGTTTATTGCTTTTTTTTTAATATTGCCCAGACTATAAGCTTATCGGAAATGGATTTTAATGGATGGCTTTTAATTGGGTATTTTATGACGTCATTGTATTTTGAAACAAAGGTTGGCTGTCTTGTCTGCAGTACTCTTTAGGTCTCATTGTTATCAATGTTTCAATAAGTGCGTTTTTAAATTACACACAGGCTTAAAATTGAAAATGGTTTCTTGCTTTTTTTTAATATTGCTCAGACTATAAGCGTATCGGAAATGGATTTTAATGGATGGCTTTTAATTGAGTATTTTATGACGTCATTGTATTTTGAAACGAAGGTTGGCTGTCTTGCCTGCAGTACAGTTAGTGTGTGTGTGTGTGTGTGTGTGTGTGTGTGTGTGTGCGCGCTTTTTATGACTTAATAATATTTTTCTCAGTCGTGCACAGATGGTCTTTTTTTTTTTTTTTGTTTGCGCACGTGGGGTGGTGGTCCTTTTCCCTAATTTTTTTTTAAGGAAAAAAGCGCAAGAAGCGAAATGTGTGGAGCTTCTTCACTGGTGACTGAAGTCTTTTTCTTCCTCTAATACAAGACAATGGGGCCGAGTGTTTCTATATAAATGCGCGCGCACGTACACACGCGCGCACGCACACACTTAAAATGACGCCTGCAGGGACAAGTTGTCAACACAGAAGGAGCGAGGTGAGCGGGAGTTTAACAAGGGATTAGAAAAACAACTACAGATTGCTATCAAACCGTCATGATACCGTGTGGATTATTTCGCGTAATGATAGGGTTCTTTTGCCGAGGGACACACGCAAACACACACACACACACACGTACGCTTGTATATAAAATTTAGAAGTGGTTCGAGATTTAGTGTTCTGTATAAAAAAAAAAACAACTCCATCCATTAAAAAAAACAAACACTTAAAACCACCACCCGTACCGAGTGTTGTACATGGCGCAACACGTAGTCATATAAAAAGCGTTAAGTACCACAAAGCGGTTATAATTTTGTTGTTAATTGTTTTTCGATTCGAATTTGATGACACCCAAAACATTGTAACTGTAAAATGAGTGAGTGCAATTGTATTTGGGACTGTCAAGAACTTTTAAATGAAAATGTGATCATTAAAAAAAAAAAAAATGCTGCATATTCTTAATGAAAATGATTTATTATTACAAAAACCGTAAGAGTGTTGTCATTTAATTCTAGCTTTCAAAATACAATAGAAATGCATGTCATGTGGAAAACAACTGATTAGGGATCGTTTTAGTGCATAATCTCCAATGTTAATGGGTCGAGCAATAAAGATTTTTTTTAAAGCCCTCACTGGCCACATTATGTAAACGTGTAAAAATACGATCTTCGATACGATTAATTAAAAAAAAGACAAAGATCCATTTTTACAATGTCATATAAATCATAACTATCGCTAGATGTGATTTTTTTTTAAATCATATTTTGTTCCACTCATTTATCATCACGATATAAGAAACAGCTCCCACTTTATTTCGATAAAAGTATTTTGCAAACACTTGCATTTGAATCTCAATTATTTATATGCAATCATGTGATAATATTGTAAAGATCAAACTTCGCAGGGCGCATGGGGGGGGGGGCGGTGTTGTCGTTGTCTCTCCGGATTTGCAAGCAGACAAAAAATGCCCGGTGACCTGCGGGGACAGGTGTCAATACGAGGTGAAAGGTCACACCAACACTTCCGAACGGGCACACTGTACAACGTGTTTAACGAGCTTCATTGACTGGGTCATTTTTGGGCTCCTTCCCCCCAACCCCCCAAAAATATATACAAATAAATACACCTGAAAGACAAAGGTGACGAAGCACAAAGCCCGCGGTAAAATACAAAGCAAATTCAAACAAAGACATAAAGTTGTTTCGGCAGCGGCGGGAGCGCTCGTGCTTCTTCCGTTGCGTGCGTTCCTGCAGCACGCACCCGGAGGCCCCCCCCCCTCCCCCCCCTTGAGATGAATGCTTCCCGGGGAAAAGCCCACTTAATGACAATTTTATAAGTGGGCGCATGTGTGTTTGTGGTCAGTGAGTCGAGATGAGGCAGATAATGAGGTCATAATAGCCTCGCTATTGATGAGCCCATTAGCCCCATACGCATTCCTCCCAAGTGCTGAAAACACACATTTCACGTTTCCTCTTCGTGGAATTCTACTCAAGTCACTTCACAATGAGCAGCAGTTTGGCAAACAGTGAGCATTTTATCATCATTTTTAAAAAAGGAGCTTTCAAGCTGTTTTAATGCCACTCCCATGTTGAAATTTAGTGTCAAACCATTCATAAAATATCGAGAATTACACTTAGCTTAGCTTAATGCTAACATAAAATGAGATGACCAGTAACTTGGTATTGGCATTGATAATATCAAAATTGGCTTTGCTGCATTTTCAAGAAAGATGTAAAGGTTTTCAGAGCGAATTGTCACTTGTATTGTCCCCCAACTTAAATTTACAACTCAGCAAATTGTTTTGGGCGAACAACTCGCTAGCTTTGTTGTGCTAACGTTGCCAAAAATGTCACAAATTTATATTTTACAGTTGTTCCAATTTAAATGACAATTTTAGCCCAAAATAATACAAGTTGTGTTTTTTTTACAGTGCGTATATTCTTTATTCTCTTAAATTATTACAATAAATTACTGAGTAGCATTACTGTCGAAGACAAAGTCTGTTCTTCTGTGTTTGTCTTTGCATGGCTGTTTTACACTGCCTTCCGGTGGCCAAGGCGGGTACACCAGAATGAGCAGCACACTGAATTGGATCGCCGCAATAAATCATGATTTTTTAAAATTTTTTTAAGATTATTCTACAAACATATTTAACATCCAAATCATGCCAAGCAGAATTCGAAAAGTCACTTATTTTTTCATCAAATGAAGAAGACACAAAATCTGTCGATTTATTTTCTAAAAATGAACAAACTGAATTTCAAAACAAATTGAACTGTTTACTCATTATTTGACAACACATATAGACATATACTACAGCAACATTCCCAGGCATGTATTCTTTATCCTCGATGGAAAAACAACAAATAATACTGCGGCTTACCGAGTTGCTTTGAGAGGCTTATGCTGCCGCCTGCCCCCCAGTGGCCAACCCATGTGAATATCATACGTTGGATTGTAATGACTTTCATAGTATGTGCTGGACACCACTCGTGCTGTGTTTCGAGTCCCCACTACTGGTCCTTTTCTTCTCTCCATGGAAACGGCGTGTGACGCCCAGGCAGCAGGACAAGCTCGGCCAGTTGCTCTGATGTCGCAATTACCAGAGTGTGTCCATCGGATGCATGCGGTGCATTTGTTTCCCACATCCTGATACCTTCTCATGTGCCTTAATCATCTAAAGTACTCATATGCTGTACTGAGGTAACAGTAGATTTACGAATGTTGTGAAGTGGTGAAAACAAACAAACAAAAAAGCCAAATTCGTTAATGATGACAACAGATAAAATAGACAGTACTTGGTCACCTCCTACGACTGATGCGAAGGTGCTGGCTTCATCTACCCATGTGGCCTGAACATCAGT